TGTTTTTTGATAGGTCTCTTCTAGTGCCTTGCATTTCAAGTTTAGTTTTGACTAACAAGAGTAAAAATTTGAGAAAAGGTAAAAAGCAGAAAGAAACTTGAGTAATAGAAGGCTTGGGATTCCAGCTTCTGTTCAAATGAGTATTAGAAATACATGAAACAAAGTACAACAGCTTTACCAGCGAAGGCTCACAGAGCCTACTAGCTCTTGTGCTTGTTAGCCAGACATGGACTGCTCTGTGCCGTAGTAAGAGACTAAGCCTTGACTCCCAGAGTCTGGTTGAAAAAGATATAATGGAGCTTGGCACCTCTTCATGGAGCCAGAGGGACAGTGTGTCTTACCAACTGCTGTAGGTGATGTCCAGCACAGCTCTCAGCTTTCAGGAGGCCAGAGAAGAAGTCAGGAACCTGAGGATTACAGGACAAATTCCACTGGGGAACAATGTGTTTCAAAGTTGTGTTTTCAGTGCTATGCCTAGTCCCCCACAAATCCAGCCTAAGGCACATAATTACCCTTTCTGCTACCTCGGGCATGCCCCCATGACAACATGGCAGGGCCTTGTCAATACCATCACTGCCGTATGTGGAAACATCCATTGAAAGACATAACATGTGGACATTTCAGGTACTAGTAATCATGTTGCAACTCATGTACATAGATCTATTGCTTTAGTGAAGGTTTACCTCTTATCTCCATGTCTTCTCCTTTAGCATGACTAACACGAGAACATTAGTCATATTAGGCAGCACTGTAGACATCAATATTAATACATAATCAATATTTATGTTCTGGATTATGAAACTAATTAAGTGATTATTGAATCACTGTTTCATGCTCAGAAAGAAAACCCTCTGAGGCTTTGCTAGGTTTTGGATTAGGTTTTTTTTTTTTTTTTTTTTTTTTTTTTTTTTTTTTTTTTTTTTTTTTTTTTTTTTTTTTTTTTTTTTTTTTTTTTTTTTTTTTTTTTTTTTTTTTTTTTTTTTTTTTTTTTTTTTTTTTTTTTTTTTTTTTTTTTTTTTTTTTTTTTTTTTTTTTTTTTTTTTTTTTTTTTTTTTTTTTTTTTTTT